GCCCACGCTGCGCCTGGGCTGGGACTGGTCCCGCCGGCGCAGGGTAGCAGGAAGCTCTCCACACACTCACCGGACCTGGGCTAGGACTGGGTCTGGGTGTTCCCCCATATACAGGTTTTTAACTGATTATCAAATTTAAAAAATTTAAAGAATTGGTAGAGAAATGAAAAAGATATATTTATACATGGAAATTCTGAATCTACAAAAAGTACCAAAATTAAGAACTCCAACAAATTTAGCAATATTTTAAGGAGAAGTAGTAGACTACCACAGAAGATGGGCCAGTGGTAAATATTCAGAACAAAGCACAAATGATGTAGGTAGATAAAAAAATAAATAAAAGGTAAGACACATAAGATGATACCATGAAAAGTACTAACATACTTTTCTTATATGCTAGAGATGGAACCCAGACATGTTACCAGGTGCTGTGGGGACCAACAGTACTTTCTGGGTTCTTACTGCCTGTTCAATGAGTTCGACAGAACATTGGGTGAGTTTAAAAGATTAACATTTAAGTACAAAGTAAGAAAAAGTGGGAAAAGAGCACAAAACAAGTGCTTGAGAAGAGGGTGTTGGAAAGAAAAAGAGAAACTATATCCTACAAGCAGAACAGACCAGGGAAAAGTGGTATAAAATAAATGCTACCATCTTTTTATATCTTTTTTGCAGTCAATCCAGGTGATCCTACTTGATCTCATGCTAGAAGATTGGTATCAGGTGCTAAGCTTCACTTCCTCTTGTGTCAGAAGATTGATATCAGGTACTAGGTTTAGCATGTTGTGTCAGAAGATCGGTACTGGGTGCAGGGCTTCGCTTGATTTTATGTCAGAGCTACTGCTCTGTGCCTATGGTCAACAAGTCTTTTGACAGATTGTTCCCAATTGCTCCAGTCACATTGCCATGCACTAGTCTTCTACCTCGGACAGAGCCTTTGCCCTAAGCTGCATCCCCAGAATACCCCACCTTTTAAATTTTTGAAAAAAGGTCTCACTACATTACTAAATTGTCAGTTTTGATTTGAATTTTCACTTCTGCTTCAACCTCCCAAAATTCTGGTATTATACCACACCTTGCTAACATTCATTTAATTGAAGTTTTCCAAAGAAAGAGCAAATGGGCCAAAGGTATATTTAAAGAGATAATGACTATGATGTGTCCTAAGCTGATAAATGACATCAATTCAAGGATTAAGTTTTGGATTAGCTACATGAGATAGTACATACCTGTAATCCTAGCTACTAGGGAGGCTAAGGCATGAAGGCTGTCAGTTCAGTATCTGTTTATGCAACATAGTGAAACCTTATCGTGGAGTGAGGACAGGGACAGGACATGGGGGACACACCTGTTATTCCCAGCAGTAAGATTGGGAGTCCATGGCAGCATTGGGTTACTTAGCAAAACTCTGTCTCAAGAAAGAAAATAAAATCTATTCTTTAACATTTCTTCCTGATTACATGCATCATCATTTTTTTTTTTAATGCATTTGGTACAGGGTCTCAATACATAGATCACACTCATAGTGATCCTCCTGTTTTCAACCCCCTAAGCGCTGGGATTACAGGCATGTGCCACCACGCCCAGTCTCAGTCTCTGTCTCAGCATGTCCCGGGGGTTCAGTCAGCATAGCACATCAGGTATCGAACCCTGGCCACTGTGCTCTGCCTAAGCAGGTGCTTTAGTCTGGTAAGCTCTCTTGCTGTATCTTTCTATATAAGGAAATAAAGATGTAAAAAAATTAATCATGAACAAAAATAATTATATTTTTAAACTTTTATTTTTCTGTGTACATAAATTTTGAATTATATGCATGGTTCATATACTTTCCCTTTTAAATATATCATGACTATTTCCTATATTATTAAATGTTCCATGATTTTAATATGCCATTTTGTTTCTTTTAAAATTTTTATTGCAGTATAATTTACATATAGCAACACAGATTGACATATACACAACATCTGTTTGAGCACTTCCATACTCAAGATATTCCCATCAGCTTTGTCTAGTGGCCACTTCACTTTATCCAAGGCTCCAGGGAGTCACTGATCTGCTTGTTGTCACTGCAGATTAGCTTTTATTTTCTGGAATTTAGTATAGATGTTCTTCGAGTTATGCTGTGATTGTATCCTGATAAACCCATCATAAGTTGAAAATATCCCAAATTGAAAATGCTTTCCACCCACTAAGTCTATCAAAAATAATTGCTTAGCAGCAGCACAGCACCCTGTAGAGTGTCTACCCTCATGATTAGTAGGTGCTACAACATTGACACAGAGGAGTGTACCACATACCAGTAGCTCAGGAAAAGATCAATATTAAAAATTCAGAGCACAATTTACATAGAATGTGTATGCAAATATATAAACTCTCAAATATCTTTAGCTGGCTGGGGAGATGGCTCAGTAGAATAAGCGCTTGCCTGGCAAACACAAGGGCCTGAGTTCAATCCCTGATTCTGCCAAAAAAAAAAAAAAAAAAAAATTCGGACCAGGGAGATGGCTCAGTGGAATAAGCACTTCCCTGGCAAGCACAAGGGCCTGAGTTTAATCCCTGGTTCCACCTCCCTGCCCCCCCCAAAAAAAATCTTTAGCTGATTTGTACCAAAAATCATATAATAAAAATTTTAAACAATTTTAAAAACAAAATTATAATAATTTTATT